AGTGCTGCTATGAACATAGCTGAGCATGTATCTTTATGGTATGAATCAGCATTGCTTGGGTATATGCCCAAGAGTGGGATGGCTGGGTCTTGAGGTAGTTCGATTCCTAATTTTCTGAGAAACCGCCATACTGATTTCCACAGTGGATTCCACTCAGTAAATTCTTGAGGGAGAAGCAAAATCAAGCAAAGCATGCCTTCAGGGAGCAGAGGGTATTACAATCTGCCAGGGATAAGATTCATGAAGAGGAGCGTTGGGGATTAAAGCTGCAGAAGTAGGGTGGTGGGGAGGTGTGGCGGGATCAGGTGTCCATGGGGAAGTAGGACAAAGGAACCGCCTCCAGCACCGGGCGAGGCTGACACCTGGCACAGCAGCCTTGGAGAACTGTGTATCCGTGTCTAAGAAGACACTCAGGTCCCATGCACCAGGTCCCAGTTCCAGTGAAACGCCTATGTGTACACACAAGAGAGACACGGAATATTCATAAGCCAGGTGTGGTGGCACATGTCTTTAAGCCCCACACTCCGGACGCAGGGACAGGTGGACCTCTGAGTTTAAGGCCAGCCTGGGCTACATAGTGAGTTCCAGGACAGTCAAGGCTACACAGACAAACCCGGCATCAAACAAGCAAAAAAACAAACAACAACAACAAAAAAAAAAGTAAAATATTTGTAGCAAACTTGGAAGTAAACTTAGTGTCCATCAACAGAGAATAGAATGAGTAACTATACATAATTGCATCATTGTGGGAGAATGGCATAAATTCAAACCCAAGGCTGTAGGAGAATCCATATGACCTTTTATGTAAGGATTAATCCATATTATGGTTATGAAATGCTGGCTTTTTATTCTAACATTCTTGTTACATTTCCTGTTGGCATCATTTTCTTTTTAAAAATATTTATTTTATTTTTAGTTTTGTGGTGTGTGTGTGTGTGTGTGTGTGTGTGTGTGTGTGTGTGTGTGTTGGTCTGAGTAGGGGTACCCATGGAGGCAGGACGGTGTTGTATCCCCTGGAGCTGGAGTTACTGGTAGGTGTGAGCCGCCTGATGTGGACGCTGGGAACAGAACTCCAGTCCTCTGTGGGAACAGCCCAGGCCCACTGACCTGTCCAGTCCCTCAGTGGCATTCTTTGCAAGGAGGCTTTTCCTCTCTTCCTTATCCCTTCAATAATTTCCAAACATCAGGGCCAGCACATGCTACCTTGAAATTTTTTTTCATCTAGGTTATAATGTGTCCTTATGACTACTACATTCTACCCTACTGATAGACAAGGAATGACTAAAATACTTTCATTAGATTAAAAGAGACTAAGTAAACAAAGAGTACGGGGTGGTGAAACAGTCAGTCAAGTGCTTACCTTCAAAGCTTGAGGACCCGAGTTTTAACCCCAGAATCTGTGTAGAAAGTTGGATGCACAGACAAAATGGCGGAGATCCACAAAACCGCTAACAAATGCTGGAGAGGTTATGGGGAAAGGTGAATCCTCATTCACTGTTAGTGGAATTGCAAAGGGATCTAGCCACTCTGGAAATCGGTGTGGGAAATTCTCAAAAAGCTAAAAATACATCTACCAGATAACCCAGCTGTACCGCTCGTAGGCATATGCCCCAAGGACTTGACATCCTCCTCCACAGACATGTGCTCGGCCATGTCCATTGCTGCTCTGGTCACAACAGCTGGAAAACGGAAGCAACCTAAACACCCTTCAACTGACGATGGGTAATGAAAACGTGGCCCCCACACACTGTGGAATACTATTTATTCAGCTATGAAGAAAGGTGAAATCATTATATTGCTGGTAAACGGGTGGAACCAGAAAATATTATATTGAGCGAGGTAACCAGACCCAGAAAGACAATGTTGCGTGCTCTCATCTGTGGTTCCTAGCTCCAGATCTTCAGATGTAAGTATATAACCTGGAGTAGCTGCAGAAGCCAGGAAAGTGTAAAGGGACCATGGTGGATGTGTGGTGGGCCATTGTTTAGAGAAGGGAACATCAAGACACAGTGATATGAAGAAGGAAGTGAAAAATTGAGGAAGAGGCTTTAATTTGGAAGGAAGAAGGAGGGTGACAAATGGAGACAGAGGAAAGAGGGATAAATAATATTTAAGATGTTTGAAAAAGCCTTCAGGAAACGTATTATTTTATATTTACCTAAAATCACACATAATATATATAAGTATGTGAAGTTATGTCACTTGGGGTGACAGTGCTCCCCCAAGAGTCACGGACCATCTAACAAAAACTCAGCACCAGGAATGAGAAACTTCTTTTCAAGTTGTTGGTCAGGAAAGCCAAGAGGCCTCCAGAGTGATGCATAGACTGTTGGACTCACCCCCAGCTGCCTCCCAGAGGCCCTGTCGCTGGAGACTCCGAATGCTTTGGGCAGAGGAGTTGGAAGATTTAAGCCGGATCTGACCAGAAAGCCTCCTCCCCAGGACTAACTTCCATAGTACCACAGGCACAGAGCAAGCTGCCAACGAGGGAACCGGCCAGGAGTCCGGCAGAGCTGTGGAGTCTAAACGACAGTATGGCCAGATATCTCTAAAGGCGCAGTCGCGGCGCTGGTATCTTGTCAGTAACCAACGACTGTCTGATTGGACTTTATGGCTTGCTCAATTGGAGGGAAATCGTGCCTGGAACGGGAACTGGAACCGGAAGCCTTAGCCAACTACCCTGGGCTAGAGAAGTCATGGATCTCAGAGGAGAATCTACAGCCACTATTTTACTAGGCCAGCACAATTCTAATTGTACCCACAGATAAACGTAGTCCTCGTCTCAGGCAGGTAAGGCCAAAAGCACTGGGCCATGCCTTAAGCAAACAAAGAGCTCTGACATGCGCAGTAGTGTCCTGACCCATAGCCTGAAACCGGACCCCCAAGATGACAACTGCCGACGTAAGACCCAGAGCCAACCAGGAAACAACCATGGCAGCTGGAAGCACATAAACACCTCAGCCCTTTGTTTAATAAATGAGATTGCTTGCAGTCTACCAGAGCCTGTGCCATTGGTTCTGTGTCTCTTCACCCCCTGCCCCCCCCCCCGCCCCCCGGGATCAGAAACAGCGGGATCCCAGCTGCAGAGCTAGCAACACTCATCCATCCCAAAGGAGCTTCTCTTTGCGGCAGGCAGAGGTCATCACAGAAAATCACGACTGATGAAAGTACAGAGACCAACTGCTCCAGAGTACTCAGCCCCACCGGATATCAACAACACAACTCCTGCACCCAAGGCTTGGGGAACATAGTGGAAGAAGGGGTGGACAGATGTAAGAACCAGGGGAATGGGAAATCTGCTGTGAGATTGTTTCCTAGAAAAGACTGGGAAACCACATCCACAGTAACACCTTAATAACATGAATGCCTAAACAAGACACAAACGGCACCATTGGGCACACTAACATGGGAGAGCGAATTCTCACAGGGCCCCTGCTCACAGAGAACTGTAGGTAACTAAGGACTGCTGAGAGACAGAGAAATTGTCTTTTCTAGAAATGAGCCCCCTGATAGGTTATCTAAAACCACATGGTCAGCCTTGAAGTCATACACCTATAAGGAATGCTAGACTCAGCAGATTGTAATTGTGTGGTGTGTTGTGTGTGTGTGTGTGTGTGTGTGTGTAACAATGATCAGGAAAAAGAGGCCATGAATTTGAGAGGAGTAAGGGAGGGGACACAGGAGGGATTGGAGGAGAGGAAGGGAAGGGGAAATGATGTAATTATGTTTTAATTAAAGTTTAAAAAGTAGGAAAAAGAAACTAGGTTGAGGTTTGTGAAAAAATACTTTTATTGGGGCTGGAGAGATGGCTCAGAGGATAAGAGCACTGCTTGTTCTTCCAGAGGTCCTGAGTTCAATTCCCAGCAACCACATGGTGGCTCACAACCATCTGTAATGAGATCTGGTGCCCTCTTCTGGTCTGCGGGTGTACATGCACACAGAACACTGTATACATAAAATAAATAAATCTTTAAAAAAAAATAATACTTTTATTATCTTAGAATCACAATATCAACCACTTGGATATTGATTTTTCCCCTTGTATTTGTGTGGTTCTTTTAAATTTAAACAATTAATAATTAAAAATAAATATGGCTCTCATTGTCTTGTAGGGGTGGGGGGCTGGGGGCTGGAGACATGACTCAGTATTTAAGAGCACTGGCTGCTCTTCCAGGGACATGAGTTCAGGTCTAAGCATCCAGGCTAGGTAGCTCAGAACCATTTATAACTGCATTGCTAGGGGATCTACTGCCTTCTTCTGGCTGCCTTAGGTGCAAGTGATGCACAAATAAAAATAAATAAACAAGTAAACAAAATAAAAAAATATTAAGAAAAGGAAAGAAAGCTGGGTGTGGTGGAGCCCATGTGTAATTCCAGTCCTGAGGAGGCAGAGCTAGGTGGATCCCTAGAGGTCACTGTCCAGCTAGCCTAGCTTAATCGGTGAGCCCCAGGTCCTAGGCAGAGACTGTCTCAGAAAGAGAGAGACAGGAAGAAGGTGGATGTATGCAGGAGGAGGACATCCAAGGTCCAATGTCCTCTGGCATCCACATCCGTGCTCACATATGTGCATGTCCGCACATACCCACATGAACCCTCCCCACGTGAACACACATACACCCCTCACACACAAAATTAAACGTGATCATGGAACGGCTCCTGGGCTGTCTGTTCCTTTTGCTCTATTGTTGGTTGTGAGCCTTTAACAGCTGAGTTATCTCTCAACCCTGTTGGCAAGAAGGTGGTGAGGCCTAATGGGGGAGACAAGTCCTGAACACACTTGGTGTAGCTGAAAGGTCGAGGATGTGGGGCAAAATAAACCCAGACAGAGCCCAGTTCTGCTGCTGACAGTCAGCCTGGGGTCTCAACTCTGCTTTTCCAGCTAGAAAACGGGGGCTACAGTATCTTATAATGTGAAGACTAATGCATCCAACACAGCGGGTCCCCAACAAACAGATTACTCCCCCTACTGCATGGCCCTCAGGAATAAGGGCTGTAGTTTATTCATTTTGCACAGTGCTTGGAATTTAACATGGTCTCGGTTACTGTTGTTTGGGGATTGAGCCAGGAGTGAAAAACTGAAAATTAGCTATGGCGAAGGTCGAAATGGAACTAGTGCAGGACTTCCCGTGCAGGGCCGCGCTACAACTTCACCTCCGACCCTTAGGAGCAGCGCCATCAAAACCGTCAAAGACAGCTTCTATTCAGCGGGCACTGGAAAGAAGCTGGAACATTCCTTAATCCTAAGGGGGGGACGGGACACAAAGTCCAAGTCTTGGGTAAAAGAAAGGAAGCCAGACCTTAGCTGCCCTAACAAGCAAGCACAGTTGTCCAGCAACCTCTGCACAGAGAGAGGCAGGAACAGTGCTGGCTGATCTCGGCCTCCCAATGCAGTCATCCACCAACGCGCTGGACGGGCTTTAAGGATGGCGCTCAGTGGAGGGCGCTTGGCCAGAACACAGGGTGGGCCTCGGATGTGGAGGCTGCTGTCACTGGAGTCCAAAAGCAGGTCAGGGAATGCCCAGGGCTACGCCACAGAGTGGTGACTGTCCCTCCTTGCCCCATGGCTTACCAAACCAACAAGTGGCAGAATCACCCTTGAGGCTCATTAAAGGACACTTTGTCAGCGTGGGTGGGGCTCCACCCGGACATTTCTGGTAGGCTCTTCTGGATCACTGGTGCTATGGGACCGTGCTGACAGTCACTGCCTTGACCTGCTGTGATCGATCAGACAGCAGCTGCGGCTTCTGGGGAGATGTCAAGAGGCTGTGGGTTCCCACTGTTTCAGTGACTCTCAAGACTGGGAGAAATACTCTTCTCTTGAGGTTCCTCAGAGCCTTCCTGGGCTCTGGAGAGCCTTGACAAAGTACACAGACCACTTAGAATGAGTTCTTCCTACCTAGGAGAGAAAAATCACTGAATTTTCCATTACATCACATGACAGTGTGGGGTGGGGTCGGGGGAGTTAATTCAGGAGGACTTGAGGGGGGAAGATACGGTCAAAATTCATCACACACATGTATAAAATTCGCAAAGAATAAATTTTAAATTATATTAAAAAATAAAACAGAGTACTCTTCCAGGGGACTGGGATTCAATTCTTAGCACCCATGTGGCAGCTACCATCTATAACTCTAGTTCCAAGAGATCTGACACCCTTTTCTGGCCTCTATAGACATCAAGCACACATGTGGTGCACAGACACACATGCAGGCAACACACCCATCCACATAAAATAAAAATAATCTCATAAAAATGAAACAGCCTTATGCTGTGAGAGCCATAATGACCCCCATTTTCCAGTCTCAGGAGAGTTTGTGGCTTGCCCCCCTCCCCGGGGCAGGGGGGAATTAATAAAGCCGGGATTCAAGTGCAAATCTGCCTCCTCCACAGTGGACCGATTGTGTTTGGCTCCAAGGGCCGAACTGTTTCCAAGGAGTGAAGTTACAGTCAAAACTCAGGCGCCGTGAAGGCAGCCCTCTCCTGCCACTGTTTTTGATATGAACTGGGCAGGGTGACAGGCTGCTCTCATTGCTGGGGGTTGTCTGCTTGGGCAGAGAGGCTGCCTGTGCTGGGTGGGGTTGGCCTTTCTGCTTCTTCCTCTCAGCTCTGGTGAAGGGGTGGATCCCTTCACTTATTCCTAAGGGTCACACGAGGCCAGGGAGTGGAAGGCATCAGAGTCAACGCCAGAGTGTCAGGGCCTCATCTCGGTCAACTTTTACAGCCTGGACTAACAATGTAACTGCTCTGGGGTGGTCAGAGGCCAGAAGAGGCATTCATAAACTATCACAGATCGCTTTTCCCCCCCTTGAATAAAAATAAATTTCCTCTATGCTGAATCGTGTTTTCTACCTGTAGGAGCCTCAGGTCAAATCCACGATTGCCCGAGCGTCATAGTAACCCCCACAACAGACACTTGCTTGTTACTGACTAGCTTCGGTATATATTTTGGTATATATGTCTCTCACGATGGTGACAAAAACCTGAGAAAGTAGGAACTACTCACCTCATTTTATGTAGATAACCTGACATTCAGGCTAATTCAACGCTCCAAATGTCATAGGCCAGGCTACCAGAAGGGGAATTCCAACTCACCTCTGCCTTACTCCAAAGGCTGGGGATTTAACACCGCTCTGCACCATACAAATGGATAACTAACTCTACAGCCGTACATTCTCCTGATTAGGGACTCTGACTCTCCCAAATGCCGATCCAAATGCTCAGAATTGTGCGCATTTATAAGGTATCCTCATGAGCAAACTCTATTTGAAGGGTTTACTCTGTGAGTCAGAGGATGAATTGAGAAAGCACTTGGTAAGGTTAAAAACAAACCAAACCAAACAACAAAAACTACCATCATCGAAGAAGTGCAAAAAGTCTTCATTCTGGTATCAAATGGGTAACAGTACACAAATCTGTGTCAAAAGCCATACTCGAAGTACAGAGTGTGACACGAGCCGATAAATTCAACTCTCCCAAGGATGAAACAGGATTAAAATTCAAGGCCAGCATGGGCAACAAAATTGGATTACCTCAAATGGAAAAATCCAGCAGTTGGGCAATTGTGAAGTTAATTGTACAACCATTGAGTCACTCGGTGGAGTATAATGAAGTGTGATATGGCCACTGAAATGGAATCAAAACCAACGCAGAATTGTATCAATATTATTATAACTAAATCTTTTTTCAAAAGTTTTGAGATTGATTTTAATTTGTGTGTAGTAAGTGTGTATATGAGTGTTTCCCCTGCGTGCATGCGTGTGTGTGTGTGTGTGTGTGTGTGTGTGTGTGTGTGTGTGTATGTGTGTGTGTATGAGTGTTTCCCCTGAGTGTGTGTGTGTGTGTGTGTAGTAAGTGTGTATGAGTGTTTCCCCTGAGTGTGTGTAGTGAGTGTGTATATGAGTGTTTCGTCTGCATGTGTGTCTTCACATTATGTGTGTACCTGGTGTCCATGGAGGCAAGAAGTGGGGGTCAGGTCCCCTAGAACTGGAGTCACAGGTTATTAACTATTAGAACAACAAGTGCTCGTAACTGCTGAGCCATGACCTTAGTCCGCTAAATCTTTTTCTTTTTCTCACTATATCTTCTTTCTTTTTTTTAATGCTAAATACTTGGTAGGCTGAGGCAGGAGGATCACCTGTGTGAGGCCAGATAGAGCTACATAGAAAGTCGGAAGCCAGCCTGAGCTACATAGCAAGACCCAGTCTCAAAGAAAGAAAGAAACAAATAAATGATTTTAAAAGGGGGGGGGGGCTGGCACTGTGGTTCAGTGGTACAGCACTTGCCTGGCATGTGTAAGGCCCTGAGTTCAATTCCCAAGCCCACATTCTCCCCCAAAATATTAAAAATACTAAGAATGGAAAGCTAAAGAGACGGCTTCGTGGACCTGAGTTTGATTCCCAACATCTACATGGTGGCTATCAACCCTGTAACTCCAGTTCTAGGGGATCTGACTACTTCTTGCCTCCATGGGTACCAGGCACACAAGTAATGTGAAGACATACACACAAAAAAAAACACTCATACATACTAAAAAAAAAAATAATTGGGGCCATGGTGGTGCACACCTTTAATCCTGGCACTCAGGAGGCAGAGGCAGATCGATCTCTGAGTTTGAGGCCAGCCTGGTCTACAGAGTGAGTTCCAGGCCAGCCAGGGCTGTTATACGGAGAGACTCTGTCTCAAACAAACAAACAAACAACAACAACAACAACAAACCAAACATAAAAATCAAAATAAAATTTTAAAAGGAGGCATATTCTGGGGAGGCAGAGGCAGGTGGATCTCTGTGAGTTCAAGGCCAGCCTGGTCTTCCTTGACAGCTATACAAAGAAACCCTGTCTGGGGTGGGGGTGGGGAGGTATATAAAAGAAACAGCCACGGGGCATAAGATATGACCTAGAGTTATGTCAGGGGCTTAGCGTGAACAAGGTCCTGGTTTCTATGTATACACACACACACACAAATGTAAAATATTTTAAAAAATTTAACACTTGAGTTATGCTGTTCCTAGAATGAATATCTTATCATTAATCTGGTGTGCATTTTTCTTACTCAACACTAGAAACCCGGCCATTAGTTTCTTTTTTTTTTCTTTGCCTCGGCTGCCAGGCTTTGTTCCCATTTGCAGTGTTTGTCTCTTAAGTTTCCTGGTGCAAATTTTCTTCTGTTGTTTCCTCTTCTGCTGCTAAGTCTTTCATAATTCTGATGATTTGTGCTTTGTACTTTTTAATGTCAGGTGGCCCGGATCCCTTTCAGACATGGGCGGGGCATAAAATACACGGTTGCTAAAGAAGCCTGAGTGTTGAAATATTATTAATCACCATCATTGGGAGCTTGGGTAAGAACCTGATTTTATCTGCTCCTGTGCTTGGAGACAGTCTAGTCCTGTCTTTTGAACTGCTGGGAGATGAGCCCAGCTCAGAGCAACAGGCACAGTGCTTTGTGCTTCTTTCCCAGGAACTGTCACACGGGCCACCAAGTGCTGCAAGATGCCTTCCCTGCCCCCAATTATGGCTGAACAGAGCACAGGTGTGCCCTTCTAGCCAGCCTCTCCTTGGGCAGGATCAGGATCCGTTCCCTGCCCCAGCTGACAGTGACCTTTGGAGAGCTGGGTCACCTCTGGCAGCAAGTGTATAGATCTTTCATGCACTCAGTTGGAACTTGTATGCGTCCTGGTTGGAAATTGTATGCGTCCAATTTTTTGACACTCAAAAAACAACTGTTCCTTCCTGAGCTTGGTAATTCTGAGGGCAAACACTGAAGAAGCTTCTCCAGCCGTCTGGGAGGCTCTCCCACCACCAGCCCTGACAACCAATGTAGAAACACAGCCCCCACTGTTCTGTGGCTGTCTGAGGAGTAGAGTTGGAATTCCTTGAGCTTAACTGACCCTCTAAATCAGTCCTGTGGTGCTTCCCAAGGCCTTCTCTGGAGCCCCTCACAGAAATGGTTTGTCAGAAGTTCTCTGAAACAGTGTTCACCTAATTCTTGGTTTGGATCCAGTAAGGCCCAAGTCATATAAAAAAAAAAAAAAAAAACTTAGGGTGTGTGGTAGGGAGATCTTTGGTATCCTGCTACCTTCTTGTGAAATAAAATACGATGTAATGAAACTCTCCTTGTGGTCTGATAGCCTCTGAGAATAGTTTCATAAAAGCTTAACTAAGAACTGAAATATGACCAGGCAGTGGTGGGCGCATGCCTTTAATCCCGGCATTTAGCAGGCAGAGGCAGGTGTATCTCTGTGAGTTTGAGGCCAGCCTAGTCTAAAGAGTGAATTCTAAGACAGCCAGGGTTACACAGAGAAAGTCTGTCTTGAAAAACTAATGGGAAAAAAAAAAACTAATATAATTTGCTGGCTGAAAAGATTCAGCTTTTACCAAAGTCCCCTAATGATTTTTATCTCAAGAAAATTACTTAAGGTTAATAGTAATTCAGTTTCTCCAGGTTCCATTATGCATTGCTGTCTTCAGTACCAAATGATGGATAGGATTTCTTATCAGTGTTTTCAACACAAATTGCAATATCCGATACGCTTCTTCAAAATTATAATAATAGGATATAACCTGGAGCATATTTCTCTCCAACTAAACACCATGTAACCTGCCTCCCTTGCAGCTAGATGTGTTGAGGCCGTAAGTTCTGAGCATGGAAATAGAAATGGAATGGCAAATTCCCAACTTCTGGCTCATCTCTGTTAAAAGGAACAGAGCATTGTTTCCTTTCTTCTTTGCTGCTTCCTACTAGCTGGAGCATGAGTCCGAAGGCAGCCCCAGTGGCAAGAGACAAAAGCTGGATGCTGAGAAGCCTGGGCCCCCAGATTGCACAATTCCATGTTGGTCCAGAGCTTCCTGTTCACCAGACTGGTATTTGATAAATTATCACTTGTTTTAGTTCTATTGATGCAACTAAATTGAAGTCCCAATTGAGGATTTCATATGAATACATGTGTCAGGTAGATACTATGGGAGGAAAAGAATTTCTAAGAAAATAGAATAGACATAAAGTCAACAAATGGAGATCATAAAATCTCTTTCTTGAAACAGTCAAATCCAGTTATAATTTTCTGTGTTAAAGTAATTTGCTGAGATGAAGTTGGTGGTGCATGTATGTAATCCCAACACTAGGGAGGCTGAGGCAGGAGGATTGCAATTTTAAAGCAGCTTGAACCATATAGTGAGTTAAACAAAAAGAGCTAGGAATGTAGCTCCATGGTAGAGGGCTTGCCTAGAGTGAATAAGGCTCTGGGCTCACTCTCCAGCAACAAGAACAAGAGAAAGGGAAAGAGGAGGAGGGCCCAAGAAGAAGAATTAGGACAGCACTAATAAAGTGTTTATTATTTTTATTCAGGTGTGTGTATTTGTGTGTCTATGTGAGTGAAAGCCTCATGTGTGCAAGTACCTTCAAAGGCCAGAAGAAAGCATCAGCTCTCTGGGAAGTGCAGGTACAGTTGTGAGCTGCCCAGTGTAGGTGCTGAGAACCAGATCTGTTCTCTGGAAGACCAGGAAACACTCTTAAGCACTGAGCTATTCAGCCAGTTCCAGAAAAAAACTGTTTATTAGTGGTTCTACAGGAGTGTTCTTTTGTTGGTTCGTTTGTTCATTTGTTTGAGACAAGGTTCTGCTATGTAGCCCAGGCTGGCCTCTAAATAGAGATCATCCTTCCTTGTTCTCATGAGTATTGGGATACAGTGTGCCATCACATCTGACTTTCAATTCTCCTTTCTATCCTGTCTTATGGCTCTCCCACCAACAAACTCTGGTTAATGTCTTTGGGCCATTCCCAGAACTAGTTAGCAATCTCCCTAAAGGTTCTAGTAGCCCAAGATCTTGGCATTAGCAAGAAGAGCAGACCCAACCAAACTTGTGGATGCTGAGTCAACGTAACAGACCAGCTCAGGGAGTGAAGTACTGAAACCAGATACCTAGAAGACTGGAGATAGGACTAGGCAGCAAGGCACAGGGTACACTTGTGATAGCTGCAGGAATGTCTGGGTGCATAAACAAGAAAGAACACAGCAATGGATGTTTACAAATTTGGTACAGACTTAGCAGATGGTTGGCCAGTTCTTAGTGGGATGTATTAAGAAATCAGTCAACTCTGGTCGTCTAAACACCCATGGAAACTGGATAGTCTTCTTCACAATCACGTAGAAAAGCATTTCTCCCCAAACAGCATTGCTTTGTGCTATTCAAAGACTCTAAAATGTAGCATGACTTCCTTAAGTCAATGTCACGAGAGATGTCTAAGACCTTTTTTCATAGCTATGGACTTCAAGG